GCTGCAAATACCCACTGCTGGACCTCCTGACGGCACCTGGTATTTTTGGCCACTGACTTCTCTGATGTTCTTATGGTAGGAGAAGTAGTCTTGGCTGATGCTGTGCCATAGTATAGCAGAACACACAGTACTATAGTCATACATGTGTCTCTTCTCCCCTCCCCAATCTGGGTATAGGACCATAGGGCAATTTCATATATTATACTTTTTCTAGATTAAAATTTGAAGCTAAGTAAGGAAATAGCACCAATAGGCATATATTAAATGTGGATCAGGACTTTTTTTTTTTTTTAACAGAGCTATGTAGACACTGTTCTACAAAAGCTCTTGCAAGGGTGCTGAGAATGATCCATAGAAATCTTGGTGAGAACTTGACCAAGGAATGTGTTGAACTGTGCCTTTTAAGAGCTGCACACAGGAAGTTTGCAAGTAACTTTTAGTTTCATTTTTAGTGGAGGCCTTTTGTGTCTCAAAAGCACCTATCTCAGAAGAAATGGTACTACTAAAACTCCTGGGGGGGGGGTCAGGTTCAATAATCTTATGCAAGTTTACTTGGAAGAAAGTCCTACTCAATTTACCAGGGTTTACTCTGAGGCAGATGCCTTAGGATCAGTGTAGGTTGTATCTAATCTCAAAAAGCATGTTTTAGACTAAGCTGTGGTCCCTAAAAACCATCTAGGAAGACATCTCAGACTTCTTCACTTCTACAAAACTCTCATGACATGCATTTAACAAGAAATATAGTTTACAACAGGCTCATTATTGGTATAAAAATGCCCAGATGTTATACTATACATTTTCTTCTTCCCTGACCCTTCTCTGCTAGAGGTAGTATAAGAAAAGGGGCGGGGATGGACTAATCCTGGTAACAATTTTACTCTCTTACTTGAACACCAGTTATTACATTAATGTTGTTGTATATTTAACTTGAACATATTTGCAGAATTTTTCCACTTTAATCCCAGTTTTGTACAACAGTCAGCTCCTCAAATCCTGGTTAAATCCTGTCTGTTCCACCACTGAGCTAGTCCTATTCTTCTTAGAATGTTTAAGCTTTATTTCTCTACCCGAATATGGCTTCTTAGTTAGTCGAAGTTAAGCCTGCAAAACCTAGATTGCAAAATGTGGTTTAATGTTTACTAGAATAATCTTTTTAGACAGTGGTTAATATTGGACTGGGAGCTCTGGTGTTTAAGTTCCATTCTCCCCCCTACCTGACAGGAGAGGAAGAAAACACATACCATCCTGAACTCTTTGGTGGGACAAAAGTGTGCTAACACAATTCTATATTCCATATCTGCTAATCCTATTGTTTCAACATGTCAATATGATGTCTCATAGTAATACTTTCAAAATGCCATACTTTTTATTCTTGGGGATCTTAAAAGCTTTTCTGAGGTTACTCAGATGACCAAATGCAATAATCATTAGACAGTAAGAGGGACTTGTACACTCCTGTAAAACAAAACATCCCCCCTGACTAGTCATGAGAGGTGTTTTACACTGCCTTCTCTATGGGCTAGTCATTTAGCCTTTGGACAGTACTATAAGCACTGAGGAAGAACCAAATTAGTTACCTCTGCTAATAGCATGAAAGGAAGTACAATATTGTTGTTTTCTTACTTTGTTGATTCATGTGACTGCAACCTTAATACTAGTACTTTAGGACACAGCAAGCATCTCAGCATAGCTGAGTTTGACCATAATATGTTACTGCAGAGTGCCATCACTCAAAACACAAAGCATTTCTGTACTTTCCAAGTCCAAAATACAGTCTACCCTTTGCGACTTGAGTATAATCCAGTTAAATTCTCTTTACTGAAATTTCCAACTGTTCCAATTTATGCATTTAAAATATCTAATCAGAATATGAAAAATTATACATTAAAGAATACAATTCTGTAGCACTATAAGAACCAACAAGTGTATTGTGGGATATGTTTTTGTGCTTATGAGCTGTGTGGTTTTGCTGTAGGCCACAATTAACAGCTGCCAGAGGGGTAACTGATAAACAGCTAAGGATTGTTGCTTTACTACATGGGGAACTTCAATAAATGCTAATAAAGGGATAAACACAAGAAAAGTGATGATGTACCATACCCAATTTAAGACATGCCATTAAGCTGATATTCCTTTCAGCAATAAAGGTACCTGACAGACACAGAAGACATAATCCATAGAAATACTGAACAGTGTCCATGATGGGAAGAAGACTTCTCAATAACACAAGCTGAACTGTAAAACTAGCTAAAACAAGACTATTAAAATGCATTGGTAGAACTTAACCAATGCTACTTTAATGGGAGAGCAATTTTTATTCATCATTTATTGACATATCTGCTCAAAAAAGGTTAGTTGTTAGAAGTGGTATGAAGTTCAGAAGCTTCTTCAGTGCAGATGCAAAGCAACAGCAAAATCAGAAAATCAACCATAACTGCAACTGTTACAAAAAAGCAGTAAAGTGCAGGGGTACAAGGCTAATTCTGTATAAGATTATTATATATAAGCATGATGCTTTTTTCTGACCATGGGTTTCACCAAAACTTCAGTCTTCTTGTGGTACAGCAAGATTGTATATGACCAGATTCGTAGTAAGTATCTAAAATAGGTGCTAGTGGGAGGGGAGGGATAAGGCCTTTCTAATCCTTTGTATGAAAAATAACTTTGTGCTAAAAGTGCAAACAAATATTTCAAGAATTCAAACTTTGACTATAAACAACCTGCAGGACTAACTGCTGCACTTCTGACACATACACACAAGCATGTCTTCCTGCTCATCCCTCAGTAAAATCCTCAGACAGGCAATAAGTTGAAAATGGCATGCAGTTTGCTATGAAGTAGGCTTGTAAATAAATGGTCACCTCAGGTAATAACCAGTAGAGGATGTTCGTACAGCTGTAAGACAGTTGTTATCACAACAGAAATGAAGACACTTGAGTGTGGGACAGGCTTTCTGTCAGACTGCCCTGTATAATGGTGGCTACATGAAAGTCTGCAAAATAGCCTTTGGTGTAGTTGCTGTTCTATGGAACATGTACTGTCTTGTACTCTGTCTGGAGAACACTTTCCAACCTCCCAACAGATGATGCTGATAGAGACTCTTGGCCTGTGGTTTCTAAATATGACTAGGGGAGGGGGTCTTGTTTCAAGTGTATGGCCTACCTGTACTGGAATTTAGTGAAGTATAACCTCCAAGAGGAAGCCTTTAGCAGTTCTCGACAATGACTGCATTCACAAAGCAGCAGGCAACAGAACTACAAGGAGAAGGCTACTGCAAATGTGGCATATAGAATGTATAATAGCACCATGCAGGGATAGTTCAGACAAAGCTTACATGACCAAGTTCTATGTTCCAGCTCTCCCTTGTGCCTTCAACAAAATCACAATGTATTAGTGACTGCTGACTTCATGGTTACCTGTTGTGTTCGTATAAGCAACCCATGGCTTGCACTACTCCTTCAGAGAAGGACTGGTAACCACGGTTTGAGGCTGGTTTGTAATCCTGGTTCTGCCGTAAGAATTAGTTTAGCCCTTCACAGAGACAACGGGAGAGTGGAAGACGGCGATACACAGCAAATGAATCAGATTAAACATCCCAAATAAAGTCTGAGAAAAGCTTCTCTTAACAGGGCAGGAATGACAGGATGTATTTTGTTGAAAGATGTTTAACTGATTAGCTACTATTCAAATTGGTAATGGTGTCAAATTTTTCCACCCACATGGTATAATGCCTGGCACCTGCAAGTGTTACCAAATATTGCTGATGGGACAGATACTTCTTCAGTACTGTACACATACTCTGGATTATAAATTGCATCCATTTCTACCTCACTGCTAAAGGTAGACTAAATAACTTTCAAATCACTTCAACAAAAGGTGTACCCTAGTATAAATCTGGAGATGTACACTGTAGAATTCTACAGTGCCCCAAATTACTACACAAAGCAGAATATACTGGGAGTCATATTCGACACAGGACACACCACTTCAGTTTTTCTCTGTTGGCAACACAAATTCAGAATTTGCTGTGTGTATTAATACTGTTAAAACAGGCCTGTGATCAAACTCTCATGTATTTTTTTGGTAGCCCCATTTATTATGCCTATATTAGCTATAGGCAAATAGCCCCCCAAAACAGGGCTTCCTCAGGCTTAGCAGGATATTGCCAGCCATTGGGGCTTGGGCAAGAACAAGAGCCAGAGCAAGACAGGAAGCAGCTGGCCTGAAAATGTTTCCATATAAAGATTGAAAAGAGTGCATGCTGCTTCCTGGAGTGTTGGGGAGGAAAGGCAGGAGCCCAGAAAAAGTGCAGCACACAACCTGAGAGTAAGGCTGCGGGCAAAGAGAGAAGACAGACACAATAGTGCCAAGAACATAATGGTCAAGGGCAAAAAAGAATACTGGAAAAGCCTCACTGCAAGCTACGTCCAGAGCATAATTACAGTGGTTCGGGGGTTTTTGATCCAAGCTTGCAGCTGCTCATACCCACTCCTTAAACCAAGGACAATACAAGTAACTGAGATCCTAAATTAATGCCATCTGCTCAACTGTGCCCTGTTGGGAAGGCTTACTCTGCTTCTCACCAAGGCATATGCCCTTGAAATCAAGAACAAGAACCACTGTTCTCTTTCTGTCCATTTATTTCTGTGAATACAAGTGAGCAGCTCAGATAGGAGGGAGGGACCTCCCTCTGATGAGTACTCCCCAAGGCTTACAACACAGGGAGTGTGCGTCAGACGGAACAGGGAGCCTCTGCTCCTCCGGAGCAGATCCACTTAAAACAACAAAAAAGGCACACAGCAACAGCATGCAAGCAGGACAACAGAGTCCTATTTCTTTTCCCTGGGCTTCAGTGCAGCAAAAACTGTGGTCATCAACCCATGGGGAGCATTATTGCTAAAGTCCAGGGATCAGAGCAACCAAAAGCTGGAAATGTTATATGCAGGGATGAACACTGAGGCCAGCCATGGCAGCAGGAATGAAACCCCTGGCCTGGAAAAAAACCCCTGGCCTGTAGCACCCCACCTGCATACAGAGCAGGAACAGATATCTCTGGAGAGTCAACCCCAGAGCAACAGGGCCTCTCACATTCAAGTATGAATGGCAGGGCACCAGTGTGGAAAAGAGGATGGAATGAATGGGGTTCAACACAAAAGCAGGGAGTGTAAAGGCACAAATTCCCACCTGGACACAAGGAATATCTAGAACTAAATGGAAAGATGTGCCCCAACTGGTAGTTACAGAAAGGGACAGGACTCTGCTTTGGTCCAGCTCTGGAGGCAGCCTAACCCAGGGCAGGCACAGGCACTTTGGACGCCATGGGCTGGATCCAGCACCAACAGCCTCTCTTCCTTGGGACAACGGAAGGCCAGGCAACAAGGGGTACGGGGCCGTTGGGAAGGTGGCTTGGAACTGCAAAAACAACAGTCTGTAGGCACTTGATCTGGCTAGCAGGCCCAGATATGGGGCCAGTTGGTCTGAGTCACATTGGTCCTACCCCCTTTAACTGGCTTTAGTTGGCTTTGGTTTTCCCATTAGCAATGACGCCATTCTCATGGAAGCCGTTGTGCTGAGACTGCTTCATGACTTTGGGTAGACGCTTGCCTTTGATGTACGAGTGGTACCAGAAGTTGGAGAAGAGGATGAAGAAGATGACGCCGTAAATCCAGATGGTGTGGATGAAGATTGGGAACTGGTAGTCACAGGTAGACATGAAGTAGTACTGGGAGATATGGATAGAGACGAGCACAAACTGCAGCTGGGAGCAGAATCAAACATAGAGTTACTGGAAGGGAAGCAGACAATTGCAGTCCCTCCTCCACCCACAGGAGATGATGAATAGGCCTAGGGGTAGTCAGTTCAAATGGGGGAGTGGGACAGTAAAAGAGAGGGAACAGCTAGGAATCTAGCACAAACAGCTAATGCCCAATTTTGGCTTTGGCCACTAAAACCCAAGGGAAAGGAGGAAACAGTATGGGAGATAAGTGGCTCAGTTGGTTTGCATCATAAAAAAATCAGGGATGGTGGTATGACTGGTATGGTATATTACTTACCAGCTGAATGGCAGTGATATGCTTCTTCCACCACAGGTACTTTTGGAAGGCAGGTCCTGCAGCTGACAGCCCATAGTATAAGTACATTACCACATGTACTACAGAGTTCACCATAGCATGGAATGAACCCATTCCTCCTGCAGGGGAAAAAAGACCCAGAACACAACCAAACCTAAGGTCAGGGCATATTTGGCAAGTGCAAAGAGGAATTCACCTGAGACATCATGGCCCGTCACAACGGATATCTGGTGTATGTTGGCACCACACTCCACAAGTGGAAGGCCTAGTGGATATGTGAAGTGAGAAAAGATTGTGTGCCTCCCGTTCAAAGCATGGGTTCAAACCTGCAAGGGTTTTAAAGTACACGGGCTATCTCCAAGGCTTTCCCTCCCAGCATGCATCAGGTCCTCACCAAGTAATCCAAGAGGCAAGGAGTTGTACAGGTACGTACTGTGAAGATTACTGGAAGACCTCTAGGCCTCAGTATATGACAGTGACATTATCAGGGATATAATGGCCCCGGTCACACGGCAAAGTCGCCGCGGGAGAGGCACGGGAGTCCCGCGGATTTTCCAGGAGCGATCTCACCTCAACATCTGGGAAGCGCAGTGCTCCCGTGGCGAACCCGTGGCTCCCCGCCAAAGATGCGGGGTAAAAAACTAGTACCTCTGAGGTTCCGGTGGCATCTGGCGCCCGCAAACAGGTCATTTTTTCCCCCAAGTCTCCATGGGATGCGCACAAGCACCCAATGGAGCATGCACACACTTCAGTTTTTAAAAGTTTTAAAAACCCACAACCCCATTTGCCGCGCCGCCCCGCTTCTTTGCCTGCCGTGTGATCGGCACCTCCCCCCTAACCACGGGACCTCGACGGGACCTCAACCGGAGGTCTGATTGTGCAGTCGCGCGTTAGTTTGCCCCGGGGCAAACAGCCACGCTCCCCCCCCCCGCGCATTTTCCAGGCCATGTGACCGGAGCCAAAGTGACACAGAGGTCTGTAACTTCCTTTTGGGAAAGTCTGCATAGGTTTTGCTCACACTCTAGGTTTGACCAATTGCCATAATTTAAAGTTGGAAAGTTTTTCCATCTACCAAATAAACTGGAAAGATTTTGGCCTTTCTCAGTATACAGTTCTGTTCTTTTTCAGCATCTAGAGCTACCACTCTGTATGCATGGTATGTATTATCTATTTATTAGGTTATTCGCTGTTACTGTGTTTTCTAATTCTGTAGTTTCATTCTGTGTTGCTTGCCATGTCTGGCACTTTCTTGTGCTATCTCTAATTTTTGAAATCCTACTATATTGTTTATTAAATCTCTCATGATATTTGAATGCATTGTTTTACACTAAGTAATCCACCTTGAATCTCAGTGAGAAAGATGGACTAATACAGTAAATAATGCACATGCAGAGCATTCCTGTTGCCCACTTGTGGTACATTGTAATACCACATACACTTGCTTCCAACAGGCTGGCTTATTGTTGAAAAGGGCTGTACTGGTCTTTCCCAAGAGAGAAAGTATGAGCAGGTGATTCCTACATATCACAGCACACATGGGACTATATCAGAAAGAAGAAACTAAAGGATGCATATCCATCAGAAGAAGACTGTGCAGAAGTTCTATATGAAAGCCCCAGCACTGGATTACTGATCATTGTTCCTCAGAAGTCAGGTCACAGCACAGCTAAACCACTTCAAAATCCTAACCTCTTTTTCTTCTTCCTACCCCATCTCACCTGGTCCAAAGCTAGCACCCCACCACCAGCTCCAGGGCAGCACTGAGTGGTGAAACACATGGAGAAAGGTCACTTGTTCGTTCTTCTTTCTTAGGATAAATATTACCTGTATTAAGAGTGCAGAGTAAAATATATTTCATTAAAAGCTCTGACCAGTTGTGTGGCAGCAAAGCCACCATTCACCTGGCTATTTTCACCCCAACAAATCAAAGCAGAAGAGACAGAGATCCCAAATGGTATCAGTCAAGTCATCACCAAGGAGCCTTTTAAAGGATTTTTTTTTAATACTGTTCAGCTCGGAACAATATCTCTGAGCTGTGGGCTTAGAGTAAGATGGATCAATCTCAGAAAGATAAGAGTTGACTGACTAGTCCTACTTTGCCATCCCCATTCTTCATTCTTAGCACCCGAGTGCTGATGAAACCTAAAAACATAGGACTAATACCAAAGCAGAGCTTCTAGATACCTGAGAAATAAGCATAAGAAATACTTACTGTATCTGTCAGTTCAATGAACTTAGAGAAGACAAAGATCCAGGCCACTCGGACCATCTACCAAAGGAGAGAGCAGAAGTCTGAGAGTCTAACCATTCTAACCCTTATTACACCAGCCTTTCCCCCCTCCCCTGTCCTTATTCCCTCCTCTGCCCACTTTCATTCCGCCACCCCTTTTATAAAAGCAAACTCCTGTATGTTTGTGGGTTATGTTTAAGCCACCACTGTTCACATCCAAAGAACAAGGCACAGGGTGCCATAGGGGAAGACAAAGTATTGGAAAGAAAACTTACTCGAAGGGCCTTGGGATCCTGAGAAGTGTCCACAGGGTCACACCTCCCGGTGTAACCCGTCAACCAGCCTGCCATAAGGAACTGCAAGAAGAAGCTGCCAATTAGAGTACACACTTCTCCCTCAACAGCTTCCCAATGATCCAGTCAGACACCACAAGCACCAGCTGCGGTTTCATAAATCCCACTCATCCTGCTGCCTTCCAGGCATGCTTAGGCACTACTATATGGACCACAATCAGAGAAAGAACTTTTTGAATTTTCAGCTGTGGCAAAATTTCCACACAAACCAATATTCATTCACATCTATCTTCCCAACTTAAGGATTTTAAGATTTTTAAATCATGTATTTTTGATCCGAGGGGTCCTCTTATGCAACCAATTGCTATAATGTTTAGCCTTCAACAGGGGTGCACAAAAAATCAGTTTCTTGGGGGTTTGGGCATACTCTAACACAAAAAAATCAGTATTTTGCAATATTCTCGAATCCTAGTACCAGTATGGTACTTGGAAAATATTCAGGAAAGCCAAATTTTTTCAGCTCCATTATATCCTATGGGGACCATTATAGTCAATGCCTCGAAGCCACTGAAGCCAACTATGGGAAGTTCCAAAAATAGTTATGATTACATCTCTTTGATGTTAACTGGATTCAGCATAGAGAAGAGCTTACCTCATAAACTATGTAGACAGACAGTGCTACCATGGAGAAGTTATAGACAATCATGAACGTCTTGAGGTTCAGAGGCTTCCGGTTGGCCATGATTCGTGGACCCAGTGACAATACGAAGTAGGCATAGCTCAGCAAGATACCCGTCATAAGCCAGGGTGTGCCCATCAGTGGATATGTGGCAATCCGAGGGTCTGCAGGAAAGCAAGCTGTTTAGAGGCATGCATAGTGACCCACCAAACGTTTTAAGTTCTGTTATTTGTTGCCCAATGTACTCAACCGAGGACAGTTTGCAAGTTTCTGGGGTGACACTACAACCTCAAGAACTTGCAATACTAGGAACATTACTAGGAGGAAGGTAAAAACTATCAAAAGACAGTATCAGATTTGCCACCCATTTGTAGTATGTATTTAGAAACTGTATGTAGAAACACCCACTACGCTCAGCCACAGCACCTTTGCTCATTGGAGCAGGGTCTTCTGCAGATGCCAGCCTGCAAAGGAACAAAATCAACAACTGTCCACACAGTGCCTCCTCCATTGTGGCCTCCACCTTATGGGATGGCCTGCCTGAGGAGGTCAGGAAGGCTTCCACTCTCTTGGCTTTCCACAAACAATGCAAAACTGAATAATTCACCTGGGCTTTCCTAAACAGGAAACTGTCAGTTAACACTGCCATATTGCTGGAATCTGTGGAGGGGGAAACCACCTTACTCTGCCTGCTACACACAGAGTTTTACTGTCTCGGTATTATCTACCGTCTTGACCTTGGGATGTTCCAGCTGCTGTCGGCTTTTGCTGGGAACCAACAGCTTTTGCTTTTTGGCTCGCTTGCTTTCCCTGCACGTGCAAACTTTGCTTATTAGCTTCAGCTTGTAAGGGGGGGGGGGGTGTTTGATCCTAGTATAATTCAGGTTGCCATACTGTTCCTGGTCATTCCTGACACAAGCAGTACACGTGTCATAGTCCTGGTGTACCAATAAACAGAATTCCTCTTATGAAGTACTATGTTGTGTGACCTGACTATCGAACCCTGACAGAATGTCAGGATGTGGCCGGGACTTGATCAACCCCTCACTAGTTACGGGACTGAGGGCCAAAGTCGTTAAACTCCCAGACCCTATCATCTTTACCCAAACGGATGGGTCGGCCATGAAAGACCCTTGCACGTACGAGACTGTGACATTGCGGATGGGGGTGGGAGGAGATTGGGAGCACCGGTCGTTTGTCATCACCCCGGCAGCTCGTTTCCCACTGGTGTTGGGCAGCCCGTGGCTACATGATCACGACCCATACATCCTGTGGGATGAGGGCAAGGTCCAATTTATCTCTCCCAAGTGTCAGGCTCACGCATGGGCTGCGGAGTGGGGATCCCCCACTCCCGATGAACCGGTGGGGGCATGCCTGGCAAGTGAGGAGTTGGCTGCCATTCCCTCAGAGTACCGGGACCTGGCCCGGGTTTTCGAAGAGGAAGAGGCTGACGAGTTACCACCTCACAGACATTCTGATTATGCTACTGATCTGCTGTCTGGGCACAAGCTGCCCAAAGGGAAGGAACTGCAAAAGTTCATTGACAAGAACCTAGCCAGGGGGTTCATTCGCCTTGCATCCTCCCCGTTTGCTGCCCCCGTGCTGTTCCAAAAGAAAAAAGATGGGAGGTTGAGGCTATGCACTGACTATAGGGGGTTGAATGTGGTTTCCATTACTAATGCTTACCCCCTACCCCTGACCAAGGATCTCCTGGCTGAGGCAGCTAAGGGAAAATCTTTTCCAAACTTGATCTCCAGGATGTGTACTTCCGAGTACAAATTAAGGAAAGGGACAAATATAAAATGGCATTTAACACCCTGTTGGGCCAGTTCGAGTACCGGGTGATGCCCTTCGGAGAAGGGGCTCCCGGGGTCTTCATGAACCTTATTAACGAGGTGTTGCACAAGCACCTATTCAAGGGGGTCCTTGTTTATCTAGACGATATCTTGCTGTATTCTCCCGACAAACCTTCCCACATGAAATTGGTGTGGGAAATGTTGCACACGTTACACAAGCAGAAATTGTTGCCAAGCTTTCAAAATTTGAGTTCCATTGTACCACGATCGATTTCCTGGGCTATCACATTTCCCCATGTGGGTTGGAAATGGACACTGCTAAGGTCCGGGACGTGTTGGGGTGGGAGCTGCCTCAGACTTGAAGGCAGCTCCAAGCGTTCTTAGGATTCGCCAATTTTTACAGATCTTTCTGCCCAGGTGAGCTTACCGCTCACAGATCTCCTGAAAACAAAAGGAAAGGGGCCTGAGAGTACCCAGCCTGGAGCTAAACTGGTGTGAACTGATGAATGCCAGGAGGCGTTTGACCGCTTAAAAGCCCTATTCACACCCGAACCTGTGTTGGTGCATCCTGACGCAAACAAAAAAATTATTGTACAAGTTGACGCATCGGATGCCGCCATGGGCAGCACCATTTTGCAGGAGGGGGGATGGGAAATTGCACCCTCTTCCTTATGTCTCCTGGAAGTTCAATGACACTGAACAGAACTGGTCAATATGGGACAAGGAAGTGCGGGCTATTAAATTAGCACTCTTGACTTGGCGGCACTGGTTGGAGGGGGCGTGGGTGCCATTTGAGGTTTGGACTAACCATAAAAACCTGGGAGTGATAAGAATGCCCCGCAACCTTAATGCTAAGCAACTAAGGTTGGGTGGATGTCTTCTCCAAATTCAATTTCACCCTCCACCACTTCCCGAGCAAAACTAACTCATTGGCAGATGCGATGTCCTGCCTCCTGCAGCACAACAGTCAACGTGAGGGCATGCTGGACTCTATGTTCACTCCCTCCCAGTTGGGGGGGGCGGTCCTGACTTGCAGCCAAGCGAAAGCCTCGCCACCAGGGGATGGGGACTCCTGGGAGTTGAAGTTCGCCTCCGCCCTCTTGGACACTGATCGGAAAGAACTGTAAAGGGAGGGGGAGTTGGAGGAACGGGCTAATGGCTGCTGGTACTGCAGTCACAAGCTGTTCATTCCGTCAGCCTTGCGGGGCAATGTCATGTTGACGGTGTATGGCAGCAAGCTGACGGGGCACCTGGGATTTGTGAAGTCTTTGCATCTGCTGCAATGCCAGTTCTGGTGACCTGGTATGAGAAAGGATCTCTCCCTGTTTGTCCAGTCTTGCCAGACATGCATCATGTGTAAACCACGTCCCGGAAAACCGCCTGGACTGTTGCAGCCACTGCCCATGCCCGGCAGGCCGTGGGAGGTGATATCCATGGACTTTATCACTGATTTACCCCCCAGCCGGGGGGGAAACGGTTATATGGGTGGTGGTCGATTTGTTTTCCAAGCAAGCCCATTTCATCCTGTTTAAGTCCCTGCCTACAGCCCGCCTCCTAGCCAAGGCGTTCCTTCAGCAGGTGTTCCGGCTGCATACATTGCCCCGCAAGATTATCTCCCACCAGGGGTCACAGTTCGTTTCTAAGTTTAGGAGGGAACTGATGCACCTGCTGGGGGTGGAACGGGGCCTGAGTAGCGCTTATCACCCCGAGACTGATGGCCAAACAGAACGGGTCAATCAAACCCTTGAACAATACCTACGGTGCTTCACAAACTTTCAACAGGACGACTGGGGGGGCTTCTTCCCTTCGCGGAATTTTGTTATATCAATGTGTGTCATTCCTCCATGGGAGTTTCTCCATTTATGGCTGCCTATGGTTATGAGGCTCTGCCTCTCACCTTCCTGACTGACACGGCCCTACCGGAGGGGGATGTGGGGGACTGGTGTAGGGGGTTGCAAGAAAACAATTGAAAAAAGAAAATAAAATAAATTGATTATGGAATGTTTTATTTTAACATGATGAATAAACTATTTTAAGACAAGGTGTTCAAATATTTTCCAAATCATTTCTAAAAAATATGTATGGTATCAGATTGATCTAATTTCTGTGCACTGAGGACAAGCAAGTCCTAGGTTACAAACTGAACTCTCCAATGCAAGAACAAGATGCATTTTTTCCTTTAGGAGGCATTGTTGTCACAAGAAAAGAAAAAGGTTTCAGTTTTGGTTTTGCATGTGGGTGGGTATTCTGTTTGTAATAATTGTTTAGATACACTATATTTTTAATATGCTAGTTGTGATAATTTCATGCCAAGTAAAAATGTCCATAGTCATATTTTATGTTCCTAAAGTAATAGAATGACGTTCAATCTAGAAAAGACAAAAGAAATGCTAATGTAGCATTTTTTTCAATTTTTCCAAAAATTATTTTCTAAAAAAAAGTGGGGGGGGGGGGGTTTCCGAGCTTCAAAATTTCCAGAAATTTTACATCTCTACTCCGACCCTGGGCATCTTGATTGAAGGGTTATTTATTTATGCTTTCAAGTTCTAGCCCTCCCTTCCCTGCACAGCAGGGCGGGTTACATCATATAGACAGTTAAAAACTTTACTCTGTTAAAAGCTTAACTTTACACTGTTAAAAATAAACAATTAATCAATATTGACGCATAATAAAAACCAATGCATTACAGATAGTAACAATCAGGAAGAGACAGGTGAGGGGAACGAAAACCACAGGGATGGAGGTTGGTGCTCCTCAAACCATTGCTATCTCCAACCATATGCCTGGTGGAACATCTATGTCTTACAGTCCCTGCAGAATTGTTTCAGGTCCCGTGGGGCCTGGGTCTCACTAGACAGAGAGTTCTACCAGGTTAGGGCCAGGGCCAAAAAGGCCCTGTCCCTCATTGAGGATAGCCAGATGGTTTTGGCACTGGAGGTCACCAGCCGGTTGTCATTGACTGAGTGTAATGCTCTTTGAGGAACATACCGGGAGAGGCGGTCCCACCGATACGCTTGTCCCAGACCATTTAGGGCTTTGAATGTCAACACCAGAACCTTAAACCTGATCCCTCTCACTTTACATGCCCTGTCTGATGTTAAAATAGGGCAGGCTCCTTAAGCTTGGGAAGTTACAAATCTCTACCTTGAAGCTTGCTCCCAGACAACCACATGGCCAATGGCTGCCTGCTTGCAGACCAGAGCTCAGAGTTCTCTTCAGTGGATGAAGACTTTTTAATTTCATCTGGCATTCCTTTAGGGATCCCTCCTTCTTGCCCTATGTTTTAATTGGTGTTTTTATGGTTTTGTATGTGTGCCTTAGCTTTGGTTTTAATGGTTTTTAAAGACTGGTTTATTTATTTTTGCTATTTATATCCCGCTCTACCCTGCAAGTGGGCTCAGGATGGGTTACACCATGCCATAAAACCATAACTAGATTTTTAATCTGTTAGCCCCCTTGTTGACCCTGATGAGGGCAGAAAGGTGGGGTATACATTTTGTAAATAAATAAGTAAAAACCAAGGTAAATGTCATAAAAGACAGCAAGCCTCAATGGGTATGGAATTTCAAAGGTGAAAAAGCTCTGTCTCTCTGGTTGCCGCTCACCTCACCATGGTAGGCATGGGCATAGAGTAGGGCTTGAGGTGAACTGGTCAATATAAGAGGAGGCAGACCTGTAAGCACCCAGACCCACAGCATTCAGGCTTTTAAAGGTAAAAACCAGCACTCTGAATTGTGCCAGGAAACAATCAGGCAGCTAGTGTAGATCTTTCAGGACAGGGGTGATATGCTCCCCCTATCCAGCCCCCAACAACAGCCTAGTCACTGCCTTTGGACCACTGAAGTTTTCAAACAGTTTTTAATTACAGCCCTACATAAAGTACATCACAGTAATTTAACTTGGATGTTATCAGAGCATGGATTGCTGTCAACACAGCATGCTTTCTGAGAAACAGACATAGCTGGCAAATCAACCAAAGCTGGTAAAAGATGCCACATGCTATAAAGGAGACCTGAACTTCCAGCCATATACCAAGATCCTGCAGCACCTCCAAACCGTGAACCTGTTCCTTCACAGGGAGTGAAACCTCCTGGTCAGACCAACTACTCAACCCTCAAGCAGCTTTTTCACTGACAGTCATTCTGTCTGGCTTATGCTTCAATTTATCTGCCCTCATCTAACCCATTACTTTCTCCAGGAATTTGTGCAGAATTTAGATGTGCCCTACTAAGGCGTAATGTGGTCCAGGGGGTCGCGAAGAGTCAGACTCGACTGTGCGACTGAACAACAACAGATGTTAGAGAGAAATACAGCTGGGTGTCATCCACATATTGGTAGCACCTTATTCCTAATCTTCAAATGGTTGATCTAGAACAGTGACTCACTCAGTGGCTTGGGAGCCATGTGTGGGTACTGTGGGCCTTCTGCCCCATATTCCAGGGAAGTCAGCAAGGCTACTGTCCTGTAGGGATTGTGGTAGGCAGGTAGTTCCCAGCTGGGAACAGCCACCACTGCAGCGACTGGATAACAGATAAATGGCAGGGTTCCCTGTGGTACCGGCTTCATGCCAGGGATGGAAGTGCCCATTCTCTCCAACAACCCCCATGCTTTTCCAGAGCCTCTGCATTCTCATGTTTTTATCTGGACAGCTGCTAGAAGGAGAGCAAGCTGGCTCCAGAAAAGAGAGAGTACAATGACTGTACCCTAGCAGCCACATGAGGAAAAATACACTGGCCATAGGGAGTGGTTTTATTCCCTTTTCCCCCTGACCAGCTCACTTTGTTCCAGGTGCCTTGGCAATATCATTCTTTCCTGTCACTTGCTCTGCACTTCATGCTGAAAACAGAATGAGAAGGCAGAGAAGAAAGCCATTCCCCTCACTCTAGATACACAAGGGTTCACTACAGTTCTACGGTAGGGGGATTTAACATTAATATAGCTCATTATTGCATTGTGTGTTTGGTGCACCTGGGGCATGCAGTAATCATGTGTAAGGGTGGGCACAGATCGAAAAAAATGGAGGTCCATGGAGGTTCATTGTTACTTGGGTTTAGGAACCAAGAACCTCCATGGACTTTTCCATTTAATGGACCAGGTCATGGTTTGTCAGGTTTGTGAAGGTAAGGGATTCAAAATGCCCTCCCTTCACTCAACTGAGGCATGCTTCCACGAGTAAAGGGAAGGCAAATTGCCTTCCCTTCACTCATGGAAGCATGCTGCTGCTGTGGCATGACTGGGGAAGGGGAGGTATTTAAACATGCCCCCCCTTCACTTTCCGAAGTTGCGCCACAGTAGCAGCATCCTTCCATGAGAGAAGGCAAGGCAATCCCCTCATTGCCTTGGCAATTCTTGGTGCCAGCGTGTCTGGCTCATGGACGGCACCCACCGACCACGCAAACCTCTGTGGGAAACATGGAGGTCTTTGGGTGGTTCGCGAGTGGCGCAATTGCACGGACCAAGCTCATGGATCACAAACCAGGCTCGTGATAAAATTTGGTCTGTGAGCCGGTCCATGTCCATCCTTAGTCATGTGGCTATTTGGTTGGTGGCAATACTGAATGTGGTCTAGATGAGTCATCTCTTCCAAGTGAGTACATGTGGTCTAGATGAGTCATCTCTTCCAAGTTCGCCTAAAGCCAAGTAGCCACCAACTGCTTAAGCACCCTGCACAAAAAACAAATGTTGGCCACAAGTGGTGGTTATTTAGGTAATTTAGGAACTACACCTGCCTTCAGAAAGGTTACTTCCTCCCTGACCCATGTGATTAACAAGGCAAGGCTAGATTATATCAACCATGGTAGGCAAGGGATGAGTCTAGTCTTGTCGGGCTGCACACTTCTAAGGAGTTCGTCAGATTCACCGACTTAATATCATCCATACAACTAGGACTGAACGGTGCTCCATCAGCATCCTGAGATTGACCTGAGCCAACCATTTAGGCTGCAGTGGATGTAAGCAATTTAATTCTCAAAATGCATTACAAAAGAGTCACAGTGAACATGTATATGTTCTGGATCGACATCCTCAGGGACTTGAGATAAAAGCCCCCTCACAACCCAAAAATGCTCTATCAGAACAGTGGCAAAGAAGTGAGCTTATTTCACTGTCACCACCACAGAGAAAGCATGACAATGTGCTCTCACCCATGTTGGTTGCATTCACTTGTGGAATTTTCTTCCACTTGTGCTCTAATCGTCTGCCAAACTGATTTCCACAGGAATCTCAGTAAACCAATGGCCATTCTGCAGCGGGGGGACTGCACTCCAGAGCAACAGCGCCCACTGCCCGAGTAATCACTTCATTCCACAGGTCAACCAGGACTTTGACAGGAGTGCCAATCTTGCTAACTGGAAAAATGTCATTTGGATGCACCAGCCTACTGAGTTGGGAGACATCCTCCAAATGTCTATGAGACTAAACCTCACCAGGTAACACAGTCAGACCATGACAAGGGCCAAGTAGAAAATTCCCACATTACTAAGTCACACACTTTGTCCCCAAAGAAAAACAAATCAAACATATGCCTTGATATATGCACAGTGACCAGAATATTCTTGACAGCCCCATGATTGTCATTATGGCCATGAAAACCTGAGCCACTCTTGTCAGGCAGACCTGGCATGAATGTTGAAGTCCCCAATGCTAAGAATGAGACTACCTCAGCTTAGGCAAAGAGACCATTAGGCAGTGGAACAGGCAGTACACTAACCATATTCCGATTCCATCCCAAGTCCTCAGCATCAGATGCTTTTCACTTGGTGTGTGTCAGAAAGACCTGATAAACCATGGCCTCTCCTCCCCACCTACCAAGCCTAGGCTGATGCTACAAGGAAGCTGGAGGGGGCTGCACAACGCTGGAAGAGAGCTTCTCCTCGTCTTCATCCCTCCATCCATATCTTTAATATATAGCCCACTGGTATAATCCACTATAAAATCTGGATAAAAGATGCTTTACTGTAAACCAACACATAGTGCTCAGCAGTGGTACTTTTAAAAGTTGTGGGTGATGAACAAACTTACAAGGGTCCACTTGGTTGAGAGAAGGACCAGAGGAAGGGATGGGCATAATGTGACAATTTCTTCCCCTCATCTTGCTTCAGTTCTGCTCAGATCATAATATCTCCCTCTGCCTACTAGTACCTCAGTATCAGCACTCCCTTGCCCCTGAAGTACATACTAAGCGAGGCTTCTATTATTCAGTCCCCTGGCTAAACAAGCAAAGCTCACCTGCTCCCTTCATGAAGTCTTGATACATCTTCACCAGTGAGTCCATGGCAGCAGTACCGGCAGCTGTTCTGTACAGGAAGAGACAGTGTGGGTCATTCGAACTGTGATAGGCATGCTACTAAATTCTGCAACCTTGCTTCAATTTGAACATCCACATTTTGGATTTGTTTCCTCCTTGTGTGAACCATGCCCCCATCTTTATTTCTGGATCGTTTTTCATTTCCTCACATTAATTTTTCACCCTTAAACATATGCATCCCTCTGTGTTAATTTATGTGTCAGTAAGTCAGCATTATACATTATTATTACATTTATAATGGATATTGTATATATAAATACTATTAAAAGGCATACCCCTCAGAAAACAACAGGCTCCAAGACATCTCCCAACTGCAAATTTACTGTTTCTACTACAGCTAGCTAAATAAGTGGGAAAGGATCACAATGAAATGCTGCCCTGCCAGGCAGCACAATCCCTAAAATACTGTGGGTCTTCTCCCATCTGAACCAACCCTACGCTACTCACAACAAAACAGATGTCTCCATCGTTTGCAAAAACATGTTCAGCTAGGAACAGGCACCAGTGTTTAAGCCTAGGAGACAAAGACCCACACTTCAAATGGTTGAGAAATGGGTTATCACTACCAGTGCATTCTGCATACATGCGCTCTTTCCAAAAAGGAATGCATCACTCTCAGCTTGGTGGAAGCTATTATGCAATAATGATTATTTACTTATTTTATTTAGGCATTTTTACCCCGCCCTCCCCACAAGTGGGCTCAGGGCAGCTTACAAGGGGCATAAGCCCATACATAAAACCAAATAAAACAATAAAATCATGAATAATAACATTAGTACCTGACCCAGCCCAGCCCTTCATTACTCACCATCAGCCCCCCCCAAAGGAAAACGGAAACACCCTTCTCATACCATTCACTCACCAGCCAGCACAGGACACCCCTCTTCCCAGCCTGGAGTGTGAGATTAGCAGCCCAGAAGTTGAAAGTACAAAGTAGGTGTCAATTCTAACACTGCAAATTCATTCCCCCACTTGTTCATATATTATACAGCTTCCAAAGTACAACCCTTTCCCTTTATTTACAGCTTCTGGCTCCACCTAGAAGAATATGTTCGGCCTCCATATCCCAAGACAGTTTTAGGATCTCTCCAAGGCCAGCACTGTAGCCTTCAGCAAGAGAAGGTTCTCCATATCAGGCTGGAAGCCACACAGCTGTTTCAGCATTTTATAAGTCAGGCAGACCTACATACATGCTCACATAAAGCCTCCTTCCCTAAATCTTGAGGTTAATTCAAAGCAAACAATGAAGATTAGTGGACCAGATGCCAAAGTACTCAAAGTACAGAACATCCAAAAAGATGAAAAAGCAGAACTCTTGCTAGGGTCAGGCATCAGCTCAACTGTGATATGGCATATGGACAGTTACCTACACCACACTGAGACTCCAAAGTGGAGAGCTGAGGTGGTGGGAAGTGCTGTCAGGCCACAGCTGACTTATAGCAACCCCATAGGGTTTTCCAAACAAGAGACCTACTAGGACGAAACCTAAGCATGAGATAGGCTAGATAAGGTTTCATAGAGTAATTCAGAAATCTGTTGCCTGAGTGAACTGGCTGGGCAGGAAGCAGTTTCCCAATGAAAGAGAAACCAGTTCTTACCTAGGTATATCATATGGGCATTCCATTTTTTTTTGGGGGGGGGGGTTGCCATGCAGTCACAGCTGACTTATGGCAACCCCGTAGGGTTTTCAAGACCAAAGGGACTCAGAGGTAGTTTGCCATTGCCTGCCTCCATGTCACAACCTTGGTATTCCTTGGTGGTCTCCCATCTAAATACTAGCCAGGGCTGACCCTGCTTGGCTTCCGAGATCTGACAAGATCAGGCTACTCTGGACCATCCAAGTCAGGACCATTCCAAGCTGCGAACTTATAACAAACCAGAGATTCCTATCCCTTAATGATCACATATAAGCTTGTCTATTCAAACGGTAAGCCCCAGGTCTGGTAGGACCTCAGCACAACACCTTGCACACAACAGATATAAAACCCAGACTTTTTTCTTGCCAGATCAGCACTGCTCAGAGACATGGGAATTGCTGTTCTTGCTCCATCATATATGGGCCTAAACCTGCTCAGCCTGTTTAGAAGCAGGGTAGAATTCTGCTTAGCACTCTCCCACACCCCCACACAGAGACTCAACCCCGCACTCTAGTCTGTGGGGCAATGGTACCTTACAATCACTCCAGCTAGGGAAACAATCCAATATTTCTTGAGTAAACCAGGAAATGGAAGAGGGAGACCAGCAATGATCCCACATGCCTGTTTCCATGCACGGAAGGACCATATGGTATTATCCAGGCTTTACGCACTCCTGGTTCCAAAACATATTAAAGCTATCAAGCAGGCTAGACTGGAACGGCAGCCTAGGTAAGAAACTTCCCCTGCCACATTCTGGCAAATTGTCAGAAGGGATGTGAAAACTGAACCCCAACCTTAGCCTGAGGGATAGAAATACTTCAATAGCAGTCTCTCCTTTTATTAAAATGAGGTTCCAACACACTTGCAGCATGTAAGGCGAGGACCTCTTCCAAACACCAGACTCCCTGTTGCCAATTCAGCACAGAAGCAACAAGACTTCTGCAGAGAAGTCCCCTCCCAGCTGTGCCAGGGTGTTTTTCAACTGGCGTTTTCACATACCAATATATCGATACATCATGTACAGATGTAAATTAAACAAAAAAGCCCCTCTCATGGTGTGCAGGTGAAATGGCCGGCCACTGTGAGGGGCCAGGGCATGGGAGAAAATGGCACTAATGTGGATGAGACTGGAAGATTGCAACCACCCTAGTTTTGCTGTGGTCTATCCAAAATGATTGTAATAAAGCAGATTTGAGTGGCCAGTTAGAAACATAACTGGAATCAATCCCATTCGTGCTTCTGCCTTTTATCCCTGAATTCCAGCTTCACTAACCTCAGCAAACAGAGTCCTTGCTTCACCATAAGAGATTTATCAGGCTTCCAGTGCTGTTGTATATCCAACCCACAGACGTTCCAAAATGAACAACACAAAGCCCCACACCCACATGAGTGGCTTGCATAGAAGTGTTGTGTGCCTGGTACTGCCGCCCACAAGGCAGCATGGAGGAATCTCTCAATAGCATATTGATGCACAGAGATGGGGGAGGGAATCGGAATGCTTCTAGGCCTAGGTTGCCAAGAGGGGCTACACAAGTCAGCCAGGCAGCCCTAGAATGATAAGCAACCCTCACAGACAGAGAGGTACCATTCCTATAATATTTCCCGTACATCCCAAGCACAATACTGGTCGGCACCATACACTGGACTTCTGCTGAACTAGTTCAAGCTATATGTTCTATTCTCAAGTACCCAGTGGGGGTGTTAAAGGTAAAGGTTTCCGTTGCTCGAAAGCTAGTCGAATCCAACTCTAGGGGGTGCTCATCTCCATTTCCAAGCCAAAGAGCCAGCATTGTCCAAAGACATTTCCATGGTCATGTGGCCAGCATGACTAAACGCCGAGGCACACGGAACGCTGTTACCTTCCCACCAAAGCGATACCTATTTATCTACTTGCAATTTCTTGCTTTCAAACTGCTAGGTTGGCAGGAGCTGGGGCCAGAGACGGGAGCTTCGTCACGCAACACTAGGGTCTGGAACTGCTGAGCTACAGACCTTCCGGTCTGCAGCTTCAGCATCTTAACCTCTGAGCTACTTCTCTTCAAATGCAATGCACTACTCTTAAACAATCCCCAGAATTTTCCCAGGGTAACAAATGAGCTGCAAGCTGTGGATAAAACAGAACTGCCCCGGAAATCCAGATGGGCTCCAAAAACGTTCCCCAACTGTGAACCAAGGCCTGGTAACTAGAAGAGGCAGCAGAACTTCCAAGCCTTGGGACAGCAAAGAGATTTGAGCATGAAGCAGTGCTTGTATGCCAATCCACAAAAGATGACTGCTGGAAGGTCACTTGGGAGGATCTACAGAATAGAATAGATGAAGACCAGTTCCTAGTTCCAGCTCCATGATTCCCTAGGATCTTTGATGTAACTATTGCTTAGTGAGCCTCAGCACCCTACTATGCACTCTAAGGGGATAGTGAGGCCTAAAGGGTGGGGAGGGTAACATCTAAAGAACTTATGCAGCCCATATAATGGCATCTGGACTGACATGCTAGGAATCAGGTCCATGTAACTTTAAGTAGGAAGACAATGCTGGTCCCCTGCATGAATCTGAAGAAAGCCATCTTCATTTCTGATGTAAGATGAGGGTTATGGTTGCCTAAAAGTAATAATAAAGATCTCCAGTCTAACACATGAAGTGTCAGGCAAATACAAAGGCCAGACTGCCAAAAGGATCTCAGGTCGCCACCCCCAATATACACAGTGTTTCACAAGGACAAAATCTAAAAATGTTTACAGATTAACAACTAACATTAACCCAACAAATCCCTAACTGATGTTTTGGGGGGAGGCATGTGCGACTGAACAACAAATGTATTACCTCTACTTGTGGTGGCTGAAAGGGAGCTGGCATTTGTATAGGAGGTTAAGAGCTTGGTGGTGCTCAAGAACCCAGCCATGCTGCTTGAAAAGCAAGCTGCTGTGGTGGCCAACAGTGCCATCAGGTGCATTTGGTTCATCAAACCTCTCTTTTCTCAGACTCAGCGACCTAGACACAATAATCCATACCTTTGTAACCTCACAGCTGGATTACTCCAAGGGTAGCCCAATGCTGAGTGCATTAAAGACCACTCAGAAACTGCATCAGGTTCAGAATCCGGCAGCCTAATTATTGTCAGGGACCAACTGACAAGAACACATCATACCTATTTTAAAACAGCCACATTGGGTGCCAGTTTGTCTTTGAGGCTCTAGCCATGACCTTTAAAGCCTTTCGTGGCTTAGAACCCGCATGTCTAAAGGACTCTCTCCCTCCCCTTAAGCCCCCATGTGCTAACTATGGCTGCCACCTACTATCTGTTCCTCCACTTAAGGTAGCCCACCTGGCATCTATGAGACCATATACTTTTTCT